ATTCTTTTACCATCTTTGTTTGTATTAGTTAATATTATATTATTAGAGATCTGTTTCAATTATATTATGTACTATTATAATAAAATAATTTTTCAAGATGTTTAACATTCTTATCAGCTAGTTTTGCCATTTGTTCATCAACCACTTCAACAGCTAGCTTATCAACTAGTGTTGTCAAACATAATTTGTTCATCAGCCAACTTATCAGCTAGTTTTATCAAACATAATTTGTTCATCAACCAACTTATCAACTAATTTTCCAAACATAGCGTAAGAGTCACATAGTTACCCAAAAAAAAAATCAAAAAAACCAATGAAGCTTTTAATTTTGGATGGTTAAGTCTCTAATTTTTTTATTTAATAAATCGAACTTTTTATTTTTGAATGATTAAGTCATGGAATATTTTATTTAGGAGCGTTCAAAAAAACCGTTTAACTACTTAAACCGGTCGAACCAAGCCAAATCGGATCGTTTTTGGCAGTTTGAGTGTTTTAGTGGTTCGGTTCGATCTGAAAAATGACAAACCGCTAGGTCCGTCTCAGTCTACGTTTTGAACGGTTTGGACCGGATCAACCGCCAAAAATACATATGTATTAATTATATTTGACTTTCATGTTGCAAGCTCAATTTTTGTGGTACAATTAAAAAAATTCATCCAAGACATTATGTAATAAGTTTTTATTCTCAATTGACTGACAAAATTTCAAAATCCATCAAAAATCAAATCCAAAGTTCTAAATCTCCTTTAAACTTGCTCAATCCTCAATGTTTGTCCAAAACGACAACTATTCTTGGTGGCCTTGTCTTATTCTTTCCCAACTTGATCAATATCTTTTTTTTTTTAACTTTTGAGATAAACGTTTGTTTATAATTCAGTATACTGTTTTTAATAATGTTATATTGATAGCAATTTTATTTTGGATATAGATGTGATGTTTTTTAGTTTAATGCCCATAAGAGGCACAAACCCCCTAAACCTGTCTATTCTGTCACACCAGATCGTATTTTTGTGGCACAATTTGACAGGTTTGATAGCTCAGTTCAGAAAATTTTCTAAACCGCCGTTGCGGTTTGATTTCTGGTTTGTAGGGTTAACGACACCCTTTTAACCCAAAAACATTGAACTTTTGCAACCTTTATTTTCAAACAACCCTTATTGGTTACAGTAGTCTTTTGGATTAAAAGGATGTAGATAATTAATTTTCAAAAGTTTGATGGTTTATTTATTAAAAATGCTCAATGGCGTAGGCATTGTTTGGCAAACGTAAGCTAGTTTATAAGCTAATTTATTTTTTGGGTACACGTTTGGATGGAGAGTTTTTTGAAACGCTAGTTGGAGTAGCTTATGAGGAGTTTTTTTTATCACTTTTTTCAATTTTAAACCTCATTAATATTAATTATTAATTATTAATAATTAAAAATAATGATTAACTTGATAATACCCAGTATTTAGTAAATCAAATCTGGTAGCTGAAAGCCCAAATGTGTTCAATTTATGTTATTGTGTTGTGTTGACTTGTACCTTAACCTTCAAGAGTTGTTTATTAGGAGCAAGTTCTTTATAATTTATTCTTAAGGACCATGTTCATCATGGCATTCTCGTAAAGACTATGACCAAGCCAAATAGAGAACGTTGGATGCATCTTTTGAACTGAATGCCATTTACAATAGTTACCGGATAGAGTCGAATACCAATTACATTGATTACCGAATAGAACCGAATACCAGATATTTTGGTTAACCGAGAATGAGATGGTGTAGTGCCTGACACTTCCATTCCATTACGATGCCTGCTTTGACTGATCATCCATCGGGAACAACGTATCCTAATGATACGGATGACCTTTTTGCCTTGAATTTTAATTATATAAGTTTCAAGTTTAAATATTTACACTTAAATCAATTTCAATTTTTATCGTAAATGTTTCCCTTCAGTTATCTATTTTCTATATGGTATTTCTTGTGTTATTATTCGTTCACTGGGCAATTTTGCTCAGCCAAGGTTTGTTTTGTTTTACCTCGACAGATTCAGGATCTAACTTAAGGGCATGATGAACAATCGAGATGACTTAAGATGCTAAAGGACTAGCAGTTTAATTTAGTGCTTTTGCTATGTAATTTTGTAAATATTTTAATCCTATGAATTTTGATGGTCGTAATGTTATCTTTTGGGAGTTCTGTTAGAGCTTTTGATACTTTAATGGTAGCCTTTTGATCTGTTTTTGATTGTGACACGCCTCATTTAAGTGGAATGAGTTTGTTCAACAGTGGTTTCAAACTCATCTATCGCAAAAGATGATTACCTATGATGAGTATAACTCCACGGACCAAGAAGAAGATGACGATTATGACCCGTATGAAGAGCATTTTGACCCATACGAAAACGATCCATCTCATCCGGATTCACGTTGGAAATAAAATATAATACTAATATTTCAGATATTTTATTGTAAAATAGTATGTATTTCTTAAGTTTTATGTATTAGTGTGATGTAAAAATGATGGAAGCTTTAGGTCACTTTAGGTGATGTAAGCGCTAGTAGGATGAGAATGTAACATATTATGGTATCAGAACTATAGGTCTTGATCTGGTAGTACTCTAGGTTGATCGATGAGATTGGGTAGAATCAGGCGGGTGGTACTGGAATGTTATTACTTTTGCTCATTTGTATATATGTATCTAATCATTGAATTGGTAAACTGATTCTATTGCCTTCTATAATTAAAACCTTATGATTGTTGGATCAAATCTTCCTTGTTGTATCAGTCTTAACGTTGCCCGGTAACCAACCCAGACGAAAGGGTAGGCCCCGGACTAATCAAACAGAGCAACATGATGAAACCAGCCTTTCTCC